CCCCAAAACCCCAAAACCCCAAAACCCCATATAAGAAAGGTACTTTTGAAGATAATAATAAAATGAACAAAAATAAGACTTTAAGGCTCCAAAAGTCCTTTCTGATAGGGATCTTGTCTCTCTTGCTCTTCATGAGCCCTGTGAAGACTAATGATTGTGTAGATGCAGTCAGAGATGCTACTAGCAACGGTGGATCTACTGTATTGCTGATGAAAGCTGGCAAAGGAATCAATGATCTAGGTGACTATGACTCTTGAGGAAGGATTCCTGGGTTCAAATATGGGTTACTTACCGTAGTTCAAGGAGGCTTCTTCAAAATGCATTTAGGCCTCTGACTTCCTCAGAAATGAAGAGAAAACGATTTCCAAGTTCTTGTTGATGGAATAATCAAGGCCTCTGATGGTTTCTTTGATGAAGGATCAGTCACCTTTCCTGCCGAATTCTCTGTCAATACTAGTGGATGGAGGCTTGTTGGGATCATTTTCTTTTCACTTTTTGGCTTACTTCTATTGTTCGGATTAATAGTGCAATTGACTCCATTATTCAAAAAGCAAAACCTCGAAGAAAATCAAAACAAAGACCCAGCTCAGGAAAAATCTATGCTAGGGAAAGTGTTTATTTCCTTCTCTCCTGCTCGGAATTTAAAAAAATCATTTACCTCAACTTATAACCCTAAAGACAATTTGAGGGTTTTGAACGGAGTGAGGTTCTTCAGTTTCTTATATGTTGTCCTTGGACATACATATCAGGAAGTTTTGCTGCATCCTAGTGTGAACATCACAGATATCAACAGCTTCATGCAACCTCTGTTGTTTCAAATTGTTCCTGGCTCATACTTTGCAGTAGATGTGTTTTTCTTCATCTCAGGATTTCTTGGAGCTTACTTGATGATCCTAAAATTTTCTAAAGGAAGTATGAACATTCCAAAGATCTATCTTCATAGATATCTTAGGCTAGCTCCTAGTGTTTTCTTTGCAATGATGTTTGCATTAACCTTTTACCAGTATCTCGGAGATGGGCCTTTGTGGCCAACCTACAGCACATTCTGGACGTTGGATTGTCCGAAGTATTTCTGGGCTTTCCTGACTTTCATCAACTCTATATACCCGTCTTACAAAACTCAGTGAATGGGATGGCTATGGTATCTATCTCATGACTTCATTTTCTTCCTGTTCCTGCCTTTCCAGGTGTGGATTTATGTGAAGAAGAGAGCCATAGGATATTCCTTGGCCTTCCTGATCTTACTTGGGAACATCATATCTGTCTTCAGCATTGTGATGAAGTACAATATTTCAGTTTCGATGAAAAATGACTCTAATTACGTGGAGTATCTCTATTTTAAGCCCTGGTGCAGGATTGGAACCTACCAAGTTGGGATTATCTTTGGAATGCTCTATTTTGAGTTTATTACTGGAGATAAGGAAGAAGGAGACAAGTCAAGAATCGGCTTTAAAATTTTTAAATCATATAATATTAGTAGGCTAGTCAGATATGTCAGCTATGTTCTTGGACTAGCAGTGATTATCGCACTGGTATTTATGATAACTCCTGAGAACAGACTTTTTGGGAGGAAGGATGAGAATGGAATACCTATGAGACACTTCTCGAGAGTCTTTAGTGCTTTCTACACTTCATTATCGAGACCTTTATATGTTATAGGTCTAGCACTTATACTCTCAGGACCATTAGTAGGAAAAGGATCAGCACTACAGTTTATTCTTGGAGGTGAATTCTATGCTACATGGTGCAAATTTACGTTCTTCGGGTATATAATCCATCTGTTCATATTTTCGTTCTATTTCAACCAGTTGAAGCAGTCAATTTATCTCAGTCATCTATCAGTTCTGTGGATATACGTAACTGCGATGGTAATCACATTATTACTTGCTGTCCCATTCTCTATTGCATTTGAATCACCCTTCATTCAGCTGGAGAGACTAGTCCTATTCCCTGTCAAGAAGAAAAATGAGCCAAAACCTAAGCTTCAGGCTAGCTCTTCAGGTTCTCTCACTTTAGAGAACAGTTTAGAAAAGAAATCAGCTGAGCCCTTGATCCCGTATAAGAAGATCTAATTACCGGAGAATCATAATTTAATTGTACGTAATTTTACACAAATTTTATAATTCCTTACAAACCTGGGGTTTTGGGGTTTTGGGGTTTTGGGGTTTTGGGG